CATGATAGAGATTTTTTTCAGCATTAAAAACTGGTAAGATGCATCATCAATATTTTGAATTTCAATTTAAAAAAAAAAAAAAAAAACAAACCAAACAGAAAAAACACCAAATTTCTTCCCTCCTCCAGGGCCTGTCTTTTCTCCAGCTTTACAAATAATACCCTAAGTAGATATCTGGCTCCTTGCACGAGCGTGACAGAACAAATCTACTGCCTTTTACAAAACATGGATGAACTATTGATACGACACAGAGCTCCTCTAAACTCTAACTTGCAGTCTCCCCCAGTGTCACAGAGGTGTTGGGCCACGTTCTTCCTCCAGCGAGCAGTAAAAGCCTCCAGTTTCCCACTGAAGTCTGACCACAGATTGTCAGTGATTTCTGCGGTTCTCCAACAGTCAGTTCATAAGAAATGGATGTCTGGCACACCAACTTTTGGCTATGAAAAGCTGGAGGGGAAAAAAAAATACAAAAGAAAGAATGGAAGAAAAATATGGAAGGAAATTTGCAAAAAGCCTCCTTCATTTAAAAATAAATGTGGTAGAATAAGCCACCACCATGACTTTTTTAACTTAATTGCTTTTTTCTTTCGGTCTCCTTCACGGTGCCTTCAAAGAGAAAGCAACGTACATCTTAACTTTTCCAGCACTATGCTTTAGTTCAGACTTCCTTAGGGAAATACATCAAAAGTTATTTAAAAGAACGAAAAAGCAAAAAGAAAACCCAAATTACTCATTTCTTGGCATTCAGATAATAGGAATGCTCTAGGGAGACAAAAGCAAAACTTCAGTTTTTGCACTAATGTACGCCTGTTTAAGAAGGTAAAGTCCATTGCTCTGGACAGCTTTTAATCATTTGATTTTTACTATTACCATTTGATGCCAAAATACATTTTTCCTGAAGAAATATGCACTTGGATTACTAAAGCCAACATTTTCACCGCTGAATGCAACAAAAGCAGGATCTAGGCCACAGTGCCGAGCATATCTATGTCCAGTTATTTTGAGAACATGAATTAACACTGAAGCATCCATCTGGCATAACAGATTGTTTGGTGCACTTCATCCCCTGCTAATTAATCGATTAGCTCCAGTGGGTAACAAGAGAGTTTCCCGCCTGATTCTCCAGTTTCGGCAGACGGGCTGCCTGACCGCAGACTCGACGAGTAAGGGCTCACGCTGACATCAGGCCTTTTAAAGCCCTTTCAATGAAACTACAGCAGGCAGGAAATTCCTTGACCAAAAAGTATTTTGGAGAGGAGAGATGGTTAAGTTTATTGATTAAAAACTGTCCTTTTGTGAAAGGTTCGCGGGTGTGAAAGCTCTTCTGATCTGATAATGTGGAGAAAAAGAAAAGAACTGACAAATTTCCCACAACCCCCCCCAAAAAACCAGCATAGGCATCACAGTAAAGGCTGAACACACTGATTCCCAGACCCAGTGGTAGAGCCTCAGGCCAGATCACCTGGCAGCAGAGACCTGACCCACTCGAGGCAGGGATGGGGGCCAGCCACCTTTCCCCCAGCCCCAGCCCTCTTCCACTGCAGCGATGCTTGAGGGAACTTCTCAGGGCTTTCTGCTTGTAAAGACCACCCTTGTCCCCAAATATAAGCTCATGAGAGTAACACCCCCCCACTCGGGATGGAGCCAGGCAGCAGAGGATGACGCTGCAAGTGCAGAGCGATCACCACAGGGCCGCAGGACGGGGAAGGACATTCCTGCGTTAACCTCACTCCTCATCCGAGCCACCACCCCGAGCTGTAAGAAAGCTTGCTGAAAGCTGCAAACAGACTTCCATGACTCTGACAACACCTAAAACTTAGGGGATTTGCTTGATGCATCTACGTATGCAATATGCCCTGGCAAGGGCTTTGGTAGGAAACTGTCTGTATTGCTTTAGCAGCAAGAACAAAACAGAAGTTAGGCTCTGTTTAAGCTCACTTGGCAGTGTATATCCTGCAGTTTTGCTGGATTTAACCACTGCTAGCTGTTTATCCACAGTTTTTTCCAGCTGCAAACTTGTGCTGCCGAAGGAGCAGACTGGGAAGCCACCGAAGAGCAGAACATGGCTCCACTGCCCTGACTCACTGGGTGCATGTACCCGCCTGCACCCACAGTGGTGCCTGGGCCCAAAGTGGAGCCTTTCAAACAAACCCAGGAAGTCAAAAGTGCCTGTGTCAGGAACTGAGGGCTTAACTTACTTGAGACATGAACATCAAGGAAATTATTGCACATGAAAATGCTCTTTAAGCCCCTTTTGTAGCTCAGTTCAGCAAAGTAAAGGGCAATGGTGATTTTATTCCTCTGTCTGAACTGGCCTGTTTGCATAAGCTAACAAGTGAAAACTCAGAAAAAGCTTGAGGAATAACAATTTTTCCTCAAAATCTGCCCATGTTATAAAAATATTCCAAATACACTTTCTGGGAAATGAGACTTTCTTGGAAATTGCCTTTCCGAATTACATTTATCTCCTCGTCAAAACTGCATGCTAAGAGAGGTCTCGGTGATCTGTGTAAGCACCTTAGGGCTGGGACCACCTCTCCCAGTGCAGGCCTGTGAAGTTCCTTATCACATTTGAGAGCGGTACAGCAAAAAAACACAAGTGCAAGTGTCTTGAAAGAAGATATCTTACAAGCCAATGAGATACTCATCAAAATAGAAAGCTGATTAAACACTGTAACAATTCAGTAAATAGCCCAGTTCTTTGCTACAGGGCCACTGCTTCATTGCATAGGGTTTGACTGCTAAGAGGGCACGTACACAACAGTCCATTTTTGAGAGAAGAGAGCTGTTCTCTGTACCTATGCAGAATTTTTTAAATATATGATGTCAGAAAACAAGGACTTTCAGTCCCTGGCATCACCACAAAGCTGCCTTAGACAGACCAACAAGAAGTTTGTATAGTGCAGGATGTGGGAAAGAAGAAATATTTGGCTTATATGCTCACAAATAACATAATAAAAATTCAAATGCATCTTAAATCTCTCCTGCAGGGTGTGAAATTGTGACAGGGAGCCATTCTGATACCCAAACTGTGTTTCAGCTAGGCATCTCACATGGAAAACGTGGGACCTATAGTCATACTGGGTCAGGGTCTCGAGTTTCCCACCTGTAACAGGAACCAAACAAGCCCAAGGGAGAAGATTCAGGTCCTATGCGCTGGACAGTCAACAAGTCTCGGATGTGACACAGAAACTGCCAGAAGGATTGAGTGTGACTTTAAAATAAATGCCTGTCACAAGGAAAACAACTGCAAAACAAAATGCCTTCATCAACCAACCATCCTGCCTGCCCTGGCCGTGCAGCCATCCATCAGCTGCCTTCACGCCGAGATACACTCTGTGCTTTAGCTGGCCACAGGGGGTCTGTTCAAGAAATACTTGGCCATGAAGTAAAGCCTCATGAATGATCAAACACTACCAGCACACAACGATGGCCCACATTCCGCCCCTCCCACCCCGAAGTATTAAGTTAGATAACACGGCTTATTTTATCTCAGTACCACTGTGACTCCAGCAGCTCTTAGGTTCTATTTTTTCCCCGCTCACTATTTCCTCACACATCCCCTGGCAAACACTGAGTGAACACAAGCTTCGTAGCGCTGTAACACAGCGGCACCGCAGCTCGGAGGAGGAAGGCATGGTGAAAAGATCAGTCACTCTGCTACAAAGAGATGCAAATTATGGCTCTCCCTATGCTGAGGCACAACAAGCCTCCTGTGACTGCAGTATGAAACCTCCTGGAAGAAAGAAATGTGAAGATCAAGGTCAGGAAGAAGAAAGTAAGTGTTACAGAAGGGAGAAGGTTCCTCAGCAGCTCCAAAGGCCCCCTGAAAAAAAAACTGTGCATGTATCATGCATGCACGTGCCCACTGGCTGGCCAAGATCCTGGTGCTGGCCAAAAGCACAGAGGAGCCAGCCCAGCACGTGGCACTTACAGAGGCTGAGCACTGGGCAGCTCTGTCCACCGCGCTTAAAGTTTATCTGCAAGGCTCAGCCTGGGAGCTCTTCAAACAGGGATTTCATGGAAGTTACTTGCCGAGAGCACTGTTGATCTTTTGTAATCCAAAGGTGTGCAGTCATTTATCCATTCAAGCACCAGCCAATACAACGGGAGCAGTTATTATCCTTCAACTGCACAGTCTCAAAACTTGCAAGGATGGCTACTTCAAAGGCAAAAGAGGAAAAAGGAACCTACTTTCTCCTTCATTTACTTCTTTGTTTTAGTTCCTCCTGCTCATCAACCAGGGTCTGGCACTGTTCTTCCAAGGAAGAGTTTCCAATAGATGCCCTTTGTTACTGAATCTAATTATTGCTCAACACATTGGTCACATACCAAGAAGTCACATCCCTGCAAGTCTCCCATGCAGGAAATTCCAGGCTTTGTCAACACTTGGCTTGAGACAAGAAATAAAAGCTCTTCATGTTCCGATGTCACATAAGTCTTCTGAGCGCTATCATTTATACAGCCGTGAGTATTTAGTTTAAACCTCTATCACATGAGAGCCACATGTTTATTATGCCTATCTCAAAGCCAATTAATCAACCCTTCTCTGGTATCCAAAGCCTCCATATCAGTTTTCTTTAGAAACATATGCACACCCAGAGTTTACACCAAGGTCTTCTGGGCAGTGGGGAAGAGGGTGGGATGCAGCTTGAGACAATGGAGAACTTTCTTCTGCAAAGGCATGGGATCACATTCAGATGAATGATCACCATAAACCTAGAGAGGCTGGGAACTGCTGAGGTACTGCAGCTTTGGAGCAAACCACTCCACTCTTTTAGTCTCCTGCATAATACTGGGCAGTTGCATTCATTGCAACATGGTTAAGAAAGCAGGTATCTTTTCTCCAAATCTCCACCTAGAATAATGTGATTATGTATGACCAAACATAAAAAAAAAAATAAATAGGTTCAGGCTTGTTTGTAGACAAATCTAAACTGAACGCCTGGATACTAATCAGAGAAAGAAACACACATTGAATACTTTTAAATAAAACTCACCTTTTAAAGCCAGTCTTCCTATTTCTTGGCGCCCAGCCTCCTGGGGTTTTTGGATATCTGGGTATGTCGATGCTGAAAATGGAATATCCAGCCCACACCTACCTCACGCAGGTGTTCTGTGGCTTAACCACTCTTAATGAAATGCTGCTGGTCCTTTGACAGCTATTTCTATTCAGAGTTTGTGGTAACACCACTCCTAAAATAGCTGGCCAGCTATGAGAGGTCTCTGAGCAGTGTTTTCTCCGATTCTGCCTGGCTACTGTGCAGCACTCACCTTGCATACCCAGGCTAGACGCGACCAAGCAGAAGCCAGAAGAGCCCAGCCAGCAGAGTCAGCTTTCTGCACATCTTTTATGCTCATATTCCACACAGCAATAATCAAAACAAGATCCTTTACCGTAGCAACCTGGAGAAGCAAATCCAACAAGCCCACTACATCACATTCTTTCCATTTGTCCTCTGGCAAGTCTCTGCCTGTTCGAACAGATGCCATCAGCACTTGTCCACGTTGTGCTGTGCTGGTTTTTTCTACTTATTCCACCCTTCTTCTGCTTAAAAGAACAAACCAGCTTTTACAACCTGAATGTTCACCTGATGGCAAAAGATGGCTAAACATTAAACCAGAAGAGTTTCCCATCCAGATCCCTAAGCACAAGTCTACATTTAAATGTTGTCTCCAACACAATTGACACTATACAATTATATTTGTGAAGTCAGTATCAGCTGTTAGAACTGTGCTAAGAGGCAATGTTGAACAAAGCTGCCCTTTACTGGGAATATGTGTACAGACTTGCTTTTCAGAAGTACAACCCAAACCCAAAACCGTGGCTGAGAGTCATCTGAGAAGCCCTATACAGGCTCAAAACAGGCTCAATCACTTTGTCAGATCTGAGCCTGTTCTTCAGCTGAAGATACAGTTAGACGCTTATCAAGCTTTAAAAAAAAAAAGTAATTTCTGTATCTTTTCTTTAGCTTTCCAACTTTCAACTGTCAAGCATATATGACACTATTTGGGATTACACTTGGAATAAAATTCAGCATTGCTGATCTGTTTTACTGTCACTGATCTCGTGATATGAGCTTTTCTTAAAAATCCAGGTTATAAAAACAAATCATATGAAGCTCAAGGATATGTATTTTAGGCACTTGAACAGAAAAAGAAAGGTAAACACGATGCATGCGTAACCAAAGAGGCTCAGACTAGAACATAAATAAGAACAGCTCTGTTTTTATTAAAAAAAAGTCAAGATTTTAAAATTAATTCCATTGTTTTGATGACATATGTATAGTTGATCTGAGTGAAAATGTTTAAAACCATCTATCTTGCATTTTTTCAAACTCTAGAATCCAACAATGAAAATAGCCACAGGCACGAGCAGGTTGTAAAAACTCCCTTGCTACAAAGCTTGCAGGCAGACAGTATTACTGATTTTATTATTTTTTAATATTTTGCATTTTTTCAAACTCAAGAATCCAACAATGAAAATAGCCACAGGCACGAGCAGGTTGTAAAAACTCCCTTGCTACAAAGCTTGCAGGCAGACAGTATTACTGATTTTATTATTTTTTAATATTTCCTTTATGTATCTTGTTGAAAAAGTCTTGAGAAATATCATAAGCACTTACAGAAAGTTAGTATCTCTGTAAAGCATTTAAGGAATTGTAATCTCTGTATATCAAATGCTTAAAATGGTTCAGACAGCCATGGACAAAAAGTTATTCTTAATGACACTCTACAGAACTGAGTTGCTTTTAAAAGAAGTTTTCTGGTTTTATCACCTTTGACTCCCACAAGCCTGTCTTCAAAAGAATCGCTTGACTTTTCTTCTGCCAAACTTCGAAAAAGTTTGTTAGTAAATCTTGGAAGCAAACATATCTTGCAATTACACTACCACAGAAGGGGTTACGGCCAGACGAGAGAGTTGGGGAACAGCCCCCCAATCCCTACTTACAACTCGCATTCCCAGTTTATCAAGTTACTTAATCGCATACCTAGCTAATAAATTTTAAATGGAGTGACTCATGCGCTTGAAGTTAGGTATGCCCTAAGGCAGCCCGATGAACCAGGGATATTGGGAGCCATGCATGCTGACCCTGCAGAAAAAACAACCCATCTAATATAAACCAAGTTTTTATAAAAGCACACCTTCCTATTAAGGCCATTGCTTTCAGAGAGACATCCCCAAACTACCTGGTATTTACTCCGCATTGTGGAGTACTGCATTTTCTAACACATGCCTTCAGTCATTGCTGGCTAGTCCATTAACAGAAATTTTAGATGAAAGTTTAACAACAACTGCTTTGATCAGAAGTGAAATATGATTCCTGTCAGCTTTGTCAGTCTTGTGTTACATGAGCGATCCCAAGAGTTGATGTTCCCTTGGTTGTATTAAAGTAACACTTGATGAGGAAGCAATAACCTTTTTCTTCCCAAACTGCCCAGACAGCAGGTTGCCCTTACGTTGGCACCTCTGTAAAACAGTCACACACTTTCCCACTGAAACAATTTACTAATGCTCCCAAGTTTCCTGCTGTAGTTTCTCCCTCTCTTGTCAAACTAAGGCAAGAGAGAATACGAAGGAGACAGGGAGAAAATATACAGCTTAATTACCTAGAAGACTATGGATAATCAAAGCAAGTCACAGGGCTGAAACAAGACAAATACATCCTGACTTTTATATAAACAATAAATATCCACAGTGTACCCCTAATTACTAAAAGTACTCAGCCACAGGCTGAATTGTAACTGCATAACTAGACACAGTGAGGACAAACTGAACAGAAAACTATCCCCACACAGATAGAGTTATGGAGTTTGGGAGCTTATCTCCTAATGTTTTGTTGTCATTACACTGTGAAAAATAAATTCAAATCCAGGGTATTACCAAAGACTTCCATGCACTTAAAAATTTTTCCTTGCTTTTCTCTTTTGTGAAAGATTAAGTCCCATGTTTTCTTACTGAGAGGATGCAAGAAGGAAGTAATTAGCCTTCATATCAAGCCTGAAAACAAAGCCCTAAATCATATGATGCTCTAGTGTCAGCAAAAGGAAATGAACATAAAATAAAAAAAAAAAAAAAAAATACTGCTTTATGGCTGAAAACACAGCAAAAATAATGGAAAAAAATTATCAGCGTACAAAGGAACCCAAGAGCCTCCGTTCGTTTTTGGGCAGGCTTTAGTCAAAATACTAAAAGCATCAAGTGCACAACTTGGTCAATGCTGGGCTACATTTGAGTGCATCTTAAGGTGCTTGTCTAGTGCAGTACTTGGAGAAGCAGGGCAAAATCTTTTTTCCCGGCCCTTTTTCTGATGCCCATTTTGTTGGGGACAAGTCCTCCTGCTTTTCTGGGGTGAGAAGCACTCAGGGCTGCCACCCTCTCTACAAAGGAGGGGGGAAGAAAACTGGAAGCTCACCTCTACTTCCGAGTCCTCTTGAGACAAGCAAGCCAGCCAACTTACCCCAAAATGTCCCACGCTTTACCCACAGGGGCTACTGGTGCCCTCAGGCAGAACAGCAGCAAACAGGCTCCCAGAGCCTTCCCCTTTCAAAGCAGGAGGGATCTACCGATTGACAGATGGAGAGAGAGCAGGACAGGAAAGCAAGAGACTCCTATACCTTGAGGATAAATAAGAAAATCAGTTTGGAAAAGCATTAGAACAAAATGAGGGGAACCTCATTAAAGAACAGAAGCCTGCTGCCTGCACAACGGCTCCAAACCAAGGTGACTGCCAGGAGCAGTGTTTTTTATATATTATTTAACATTATTAATATATATTAAAAATATAACATTATTATTATTTGGGTGGGCCATGGGCACTAGCAGGAGCTCCACCCAGGGACGCACCATGAGGACCAGGAGTCGCCAGCATTGGTGGCAGCTCCAGTCCATTGCCTCATATGCAGTCAGAGACCATTAGATAAACTGTAAAGCTGGAGAGACACCAATAGATTTGTATGTGTATTTAAAGGTACAGGCACATAGCTCCCAACAAACCAAAAGTCATCTTCAAGCTTCTGACTATGGGCTACCAGTGCTTTTTGTACCATTGCCCCCCCAGCTCCCAGAAATGGCTTGCTGTACAAGTCAGGACAGTATTTTCATTCACTGGGGGGAGAGGAAGGGAGGATGCTGTCCCAGCATGAAGGGCATGGGAGGTAATAATTCTGCTCCTCGGCCTCTTACTTTACCTAAATAATTTATTCAGCAAGGCCTGCCCACTTTAAAGCCGTGTTAGTCAAATATATGTAAGCACTGGGACAGACCTGCCCCTTCACAGGCAAGAGCATGAAGTGTCACTGCACTAAGAAACATTTCCTAAAAGAAACAAGAAAGTCCACTACCAGGGTCTGTGTTTTCAGAACTAAGTTTACAAAGAGACCATACTTTCTCTAACAGGTATCAAAAACTCAACTGACATAAAAAATCAAATTGTGGTTTTTTTAGGCTGATCCCCCACTGAAAAGCCTGCTAACAGATTTTTGCCGACAGGTCTGTGGATTAATCTACCTCTGTCCCTGTACCAGGAAAATAAAGCCTCACACAAACCAGCAGAGCAAGATGCTGCACTCGGCAGATACCAGAACTGCACACGCTACAAAATACAGCACAGTCAAATGTAAAGGTAAGGGTTTTGCACATTATAGTATCCTTTTTGTTGTACCCTTTTACCTTACAAGATACTCTAGAAATTAACTCCTAGCTCAGAATGTTCTTAACTCCATTTCATTTTAAGATTGCAGCTCAGATTATCTTAAAGCAAAAGTACCATACAAAAACAAGCATTCCCATTCACCTTTGCAAAAGGGTGGGAAATTAATTTAAGGCCAAAAAAAGCAGAGTTCACTGTAGGTATTAATTTCCAACTCTGAATTTTTACAGACAGCCACAGAACTTTTAAGATTGCAGCTCAGATTATCTTAAAGCAAAAGTACCGTACAAAAACAAGCATTCCCATTCACCTTTGCAAAAGGGTGGGAAATTAATTTAAGGCCAAAAAAAGCAGAGTTCACTGTAGGTATTAATTTCCAACTCTCTGAATTTACTGACAGCCACAGAACTCCTCAATTTCTAGCTGAGCCAGTAGCAGAAAGAGAGAAAGAAGCAGCAGCACTTATCCTGGCATACAGAGCAATTGAGCAAGGTCCAAGCTACATTGACCTTGCCATCTGGACATGTGGCAAGCCCAGTGCAGAGGCATTTCCAGCATTATCCTCTACAATCATGTAAAATTGTATTCTGATGAGAGAGGCCAAAAATCCCATGCTGCAAAGACCCAACTGATAACAGCAATCAATCAATCCCCTTTATGGATGCCAGGTCACACATGTCACACAGTGATGCCCACATTACTGCTTCACAAACTTTAAAAAATTATCACACTTTCTGCATAAAGATGTTGATTTTCATTCCCCCAGTGCTACTGAGTGAAAGAAAAACAGCAGTTAAGAAGCTGATCCTCTGTCCCCAATGAAAAACTGAAAGGACTTTC